TTCTTTCCAGATTGTCTGATTGAGCGGTTGGAGATGTAGGCACCTCAGTATGCTTGACATAGGCCAGCACTAGGTCCCCTCCCTCACCCTCTCTTTTTCTCTTCTCTTCACTTCGCTTTTAATACCATCATATATATATATATATATATATATATATACATATAGAAAAACCTTATGGTTGTACGGCAGTGAAGCATCAGTGCCAACACTGATGTTGCTGTCTTTGATGATGATGATTAAGGTTGGCTCATTGACATTCATCAGTCACAACAAAACGTCAGTAATACATAGCAATGCTTAACCGCCGTACAAGCGTGGGTGAAGAAACCCCTGATAAGGAGTGGAAAGAAAATGGTAGGGTGGGGACCAGTGCGAAGAAGCCCCAAATCATTGGGAAAAATGATCAACATTAAGGTAGTCCCCTTTGGACAGTACTAAACGAAACACTAAGCATGATGCAGGTGCCTCCAGCGTCCTGTGTGACCTAAAAATTGGCCACTCATAACTTTCCTGATCACTGGCTTCCCGCAACCTACCTCATCTGTTGCCGCCACTTGGATTCCAACCGACCTCCATGTTCATGCATGTTCCCGGTCACAGCTTAACCGGTCTGTTAGAAGCTGATACAGTTTCTTAGGTAAATTAATGATGGGTGGTGAACTCAAGATAGATAATCTCAACGCTACCCACAAAGTCAATGAAAACTCTTGAGAATCCATTACCAATTTCGCCCTTTTTGGGTTGTTGGGATAGGCTTAGACCAGGAACGTCCGGTAACCTCGTTCACCACTGTTCATTGACTGAATACCTTGTCGTCGTGAACGTATTGTTTATTTTGTAATAAGGAAATGGCATATGACTAAAATTTTGCTTTGCCTTTCCACAAAACAATCTCAGGAGTCGTTTGGTTATTGATAGGATCGCTGTCTTGGCAGAGATCTTTCATCTGCACGGCATGACCTGTGCTAAAAACTTGACTTCAATGAGCGATTATACTACTGAACTTACCATAATAACCTCAACAGGTGTGAAAAGCAATGTGTTAAGCGTTTCATTAGCTCATCACGTCCTCCTATGTTTTTCCACCTTCAACCAATCAGCCTGACACGCCGCGCATGGATATAGACGACCACATGGTGCATCCGGATTTGCTACCAGATGGACGAGGAATACCGACCCGCCCGAGTTTGGATTGCCCTGCGGGTGACAAAGACGGTCGCAACCGCTTGGGAGTTTTCAAAGGATTGCGGAAGGGTGCTAAACAGTGAACAATGAACTGGATCCAAACGGATTAGCTCACCAATTTGTACTGTTTATCCGAATTCGCTGGCCTTCCATGGTTTACGTTGAGGAGGTGGCATTCCGCTTCAGGTGGTTCATTATCACAGATAATCTGATTAAACCAGCGCCTCTTTTCATATTGGTCCCTCGTTTAAAGTCAGTTTGTGGCAGGTTTGGATACCTAAAAGAGAAAATCTGTTTGTCCATTGTCTTAGTCCTGTCGGTCTCGTAGTTCACCAACAAATTAACGTGACGTTGCAAGGTCCGAAAGCATATAGGTCTTTTGACAGTGTTTAATTTTGGAAAACGTCAGCAACTGCAGTTTGATTCCGCTATACAGTATCATATTGAGTTGTGCCGATAAGTATCTCAAGCCGGTCCAATGGAAATCCTAAGGTGCATCGATGTAATTTTCCGATTTTCGATTGCCTCTTTGCGCACAAGCCAGTGGATTACTCGACATTACCGGCATTTCCACTTCAAATTGGAACATTCCTGTGTTTCCGTCAAGATGTTCCATGACTAGATGGCCGGCGCTGTGTACTTCCGTCAGAACATTACGGTTGCTGAAAGCAGAGGCCAATAGGAGACACAGTGGTTGACTTGGACCACAATCTGCTTCAGCTCTTTTTAGGACCTGATTTTTGAAATTGCTCAGGTGCATACTTGGTATCGCTTAAGTTGGTTCAAGTGCTGGCTCGGTCTTACACCTGGTGAACGAGTTGATGCTGTGCGCATACTGTCGTGGATGAATTTCGTTGACCGAGCTTTACAACAGTGAGCCACCCTTGGGAAAAAGCAGTACCTTGTTTCCTCTTGCACCGAGTTTAGGCCAAAATTAAACGGGTGTTTGCAAAATATTTGCAATTCAAAATCATTTTTATGTCGATGGGAAATCCAACTGAATCTCTCGTTTATGTTGTGTGCTACAGAAGGGCCACCTTATGTTTTACTTGGTACGATATTCGAGAAATTGCAGCATACTTATTCTGTTGACATAAGACGCTAATCACAAGGTTGATTCCGAAGAGTTTTCAGCAACTCTATGAGCAGGGTGACGTCAGGAAACTGTAGTAATAGTCGAAAATGCACCTAACATATGCAGCTTTCGTATATTTGATGAAGTGTCCTGACCCGAATATTTGTGTTCGCTTCTAACTTCAATGCTTTTCGCGGTAGAGCCCATAAGCGGGTCCCCCAAAAGGTGCACACCCAAGGAACCGACAAGTTGGTATTCGGAGGCGCACGCCTTAACCTATGCCTTCGTGGATATTGTCACCATGTGAAACGAGCAATGACCTAATGTCCTAACTGTCAATCTCCTTGTTGAGTGCATCTGGCGATACTTACATGTGGCCATTGTAATCTAGGATGAAACATTCACGGAGTAAACGAATGAAACAGGCGATACACGCTTAACATATACTATTGTTCCGTTGTGATATGTAGTATGGACTACTTTTCGCTCACCATTCCAACGGAATGGTCCAGTTCATCCTGATTTTTATGCAGCTTGCCTCGTCAGGCTTATCAACGAGTATTCTACTGCACAGGGAAACCTGTCTATGACTCGTAATCCATATCAGCTACAAATATACGCGCGCGCCTCATCACTGTGTTAAAATGCACCGAAACGTTAGTTAAGCGGCACTTTCCGAGGTCATCATCATCATCAAAGACAGCAACATCAGTGTTGCCACTGATGCTTCACTGCCGTAGTCTTACGTAAAGCTAATTGGGGTGGCGTCCCAAGGCTGAGTAAAAAAGTGCATATGCATTGTTCAGTTCCGACTTCCCACCACCGCACACACGTGTAGTGTGGTGCTTCGTCGAACAAAATAATACTGACTAAGCCTTGGCAGCGTCTTAAAATGCCAGCCGCATTAACTGGACGATTCCCGTCACTATGATTTTTACTGTGAAACTACTACTCTAAACTGGGTTCTCGCATTGATTTGATATCGTTGTTAGCGTTAATGGAATCAAGTATAGCTGTTATTGAATGGGTACCTGTTGTCACAGTCCAGGTTGTAGTTTTAACTGTGGGATGGGATCGCGCAAAAGGTCCTTTTGAACTTGAGTGACCAGACCGACACCTTGGAAGCACCTCTCTTGGAAGGCAGCTGTTTCTCGTAGCCATACCACGCTCTTGGGACCACATAGTTGGAAGGTGGGAGGAGACAAACCGTTAAGTCGCGCTTTGAGAAGTGAGCTATCTCGTGTTCATGCAATCATGCTGGGATCTGAATTCCAACATGCTGATACACGGAAATGGCAGTATCACTACCCCAAAAGCACAAGCTGGACGTTCCTGAGAGTCACGCCTGAACGGGCAACTGCTTGAACTATGTGCACATTTGCTCGGTACCTCAGTAAATATCTTGACTTTATTTATCGGGGATTCGCTTATCAGGGTTTCCCAGAGAGACATGGCCGCGGACGTTCCAAACCTTGTTGGAAACCCTTTGCCTAGGTTCATGATCTGTTGAATTTGTTGCCCACATCATTTGTATGAACAGCCCTCTCGTACAGGTGCGTTTATTCACGTTAGTCTACACAAAAAACGGTGTGGACTAACCAGAGTAATCTCACCGCGACAAGGGGACCGGGTGATGTGGACGACAAACTGAATTTTGAAAATGCCCAAATCGATGGATCTGTTTTCTAGTGTGATTAAGTTTATGATTGGCCTCGGAAAGTCTGGAGTAAAGCCTGCTGATGCCACTGAGTGCAGTCGTTCCCCGAATAAACATTACCCACTGGTCCGAATACAGGAAACCCTAAATAAGAAATCTCGCAACTCGGCCTTTGTTGGGAGGGCAAATTGCCTTTCAGAGACACATGGGTTGGTGTTTTTGGGATTTCCGGTGGTCTATCAAAAGGTATCACGTTCGAACGAAATCTCACGAAGTCGGAATGCTGTGGTCTCTCTTTAAGAGAGCTTATTGGAGGGGAAGGCCGCTGTATTTTCGGAAAGATCGCGAATTATTTTAACACTTTCTGCTACACAGACCTACTCTGAAAATTAGGGCGTAAAATCAAACTTCGCAGTCTCCTTTGCAACAGCACAAGGATTAGCAACTCAATGTTCTTTGAAGATCACCCCCCTCCAAAAACTTCATGGTAAGCAGGACACCGGCATCGAACATTGACACCGCGTCGGGGTTGATTACGCTGACTGTGCTCGTACGCACTCAAGTCTTCCTTAGTTTAACGATGACAGCCTTGATGGGGTTTTACAGAAGCAGTTGTGATGCACGATTGCAAAAGCTGTATCATTTGAATGATTTCTTTACCGATTCCAAAGAAGACCTCAGATAAGTTGCAAAATTTGTTTCTCTGTTTCCTTGAAAAAAGTAAAAGGCGCAGGAACAAGCACAGTTAATTGAAGGACATTGGCGCGAACAGCCATCGTTTGATCTCGTACTAAACCACTGGAACAAGTGGTCCATGTGTCCTCCATGGTGGCATTTTGGACAGATGAAAACAAGTCCTTTCGCCTGTATACGACACACTGAGCAGCGCAGAATAGTGCTCTTATTCAAAGTGAGTCTGGAGGATGAACTGCCATCTAGAGACCAAGAACAGATATGACAGCGAATAGGTGGTTGCATCCCATCGACTTCGGAATATGATGTTGCGGAGCCGCAAACTGGACAAGAGGGAAGCAGCATGGACTGCGTTGGATTTGGGGGCCATCCGCTCTGCTTCCCAGACGGCAGACACTCTTTGTGCCCTGGTGGGGAAATGATACCTGACCACCTAGTTCTTAGTCCGTCGGTCCACGCACGGAGAAGTCGCGCATGCCGGAGAAACGATCCCATTGAATAAAGTATGTCTGCGTATACGGAAATATAGTGTGCAAAGCAGGGAAACTCCTCTGAAGCCACAAATCTGAAATAACGAAAAACGTGTAGTAAAAAGAGATCACTAGAATTGCGAAACACTGGATTGAAACATAAAATCATTGGGTGCGTACGCAGTAGAAATTGAAGACGGTAATCGGAGATGCTCAAGAATAATGCCAAGATGTCGTCATTCTGAAGAGATAGGAATGACCACTTTACAAATCCTGAGTATATCGTATCAACCTCAAGTGAAGTGATTATGACTTCAAGGACAGAAAGTCAATCCCACTGCTGTTACACATGGTTTACTGGTTGATTAACATCTTGCAAAAGAAACTATTGGGACAAGGTCCATACACGCAAAACACTTGGATGAGAGTAGGGAAGCCGGTGAGACCAGAGAAGACACGGCAGTTCAATCAAACTGGTCGATCTGCATTATCTTAATACAGTCGAGTAGTACTGTTTACTGAGTGACTAGTCCAAAGAGGACTAAGAGAACTAAGGAAGCACGTGCTCGCTGGGTCAAGGGGTGACGCGCAAAAACAGTTAACTACTGGCTCATTATCTTGCTCGCAGTAGCAGTGGATGTACGTCTATATCAGGCAAAGCGCTAACTACGGATAGCGCGATTAGCAGTGACATTTCGGGTTGGATGTATAATATGCACTGTTGTCGTTAAAACAGTTCCGGTAATTCAGTTTAATGGTAAAATAGCCCCACGATCACACCAGCTTCCAGAATGAATAGGTGGATAGTTAAATAAAGTTTACAGGCATTCCTGCTATCAGTTCATGAGGCAGTGAGATGCGGGTGCTGCAATTTTCGTCACAATTGACCTTTGGTTTTGGCTTTGTTACTCGGAATTAGATCGGGTGGAAAAATACTGGGTGGCCGAGAGGGCAAACGGTTTGTGTGGGTAACGCCATTATGCATGCAACGGTCAACTGCAACACGCACCACATGAGTAACGAATAAATGAACGCAAACATCAATATTAAAAGTTCATTATTCAATTTGTAACTGTAAGACAAAAAGCGTACATCCTAGTCACGTGGATCAAAGTGAGCAGGACATCTGATACAGTTCTTTTTGTGAACCCAGACCGCGCCTAAATCGTGCAATCAACAAACCTTCAATATGGGTGAAACGTGAGGTGTCACACTTGTTCTAACAAGTGAGGAAATATCAACCTGGTGGACGTGGCTGATAAGGTAGTCGACGATAGAAGCGGAATTCCAGTCAAATTGTTTCAAAAAGTCTAAGGTTCCTTTACTCGCGCATCCAGTCTTACTCCGGTCTCTATACAGATGTGTAGAGCTATATGGGTAAAAAGGCTCGGGAGTGGCTCAGTGCTGGATGTGTTCCTGAACACGTGCGATATAGCACAGCAATCAACACGGTACAGGAGCCAAGTACGGGAGCAGAATGTGCGCGTAGGAAAGACAACCAATAATACGTCAAACGGCAGGGTAGACTGATTGGCATAAAAAGTTCCGCTACTCATTATATGATTCCAAAATATAGTAAGGAATGTCGTCTCATAGGTAAGCTTTCCGCGCATGGATTTGGTTGACGGAAAGTAAATTCACAGAAGGCGAGGTTCAAATGTATGAGTTTGCGATCTGTTCCGTTTCATGAAATGAACTACTCGCAAGGTTGCTGAAAACTTTATGTTCGCGAACTCAATACATATGAACGCTGCTGGACACGGACTACTTTGCGCTACTAAACCCCATTAAATAGCGTCAGTTTTTACGGTGTTGAACGTGCCTGTACCAGAACCAAGTTGATCGCAACATGCACAACACACTACAGTTTGCGGTTATCAAGCACGAGACAGTTTGGCGGTAATGTATACATTTTAGTCCACCAGTGTATCGAGGTTTGTGTTGCCGTCACACACCACCCACTTGCATTTAGCTCCGCCCCGGTGTCACCTATGGTTTCTGGGGCGAGAAAATAGCAATTAATAAATAGGTAGTGCTGTCGAACACCTCCAAGGTTGTTTAAAGCAAGCACAACATCTGAAAATAGAACATGAGTCGTGTGTGAAAGCAACAGTGGGTACAAAGAAGAAGCGATACGACGGTGTGCCAAAGTAGTATGTACATCAAGCGTACAAACCAGTAAGACGTCTAAAAATATCCCGAGAGAAGCTAGAGAGAAATAAAAAAATAAATATAAATAAATTCAAAGGCTCGATTCGAAGGCGGTTAGTTTGGTTTCAGTGAAAAACGTAACAACACGCCCAATTAGAAGGGTCTCCATTTCTGAATGGAGTGGGTGCGGGCGTTATAAGAGGACGAAAAGGCATAAATCCACGTTTCCGGATGACTTGTGAAATTTCTATTGTCAACGGGTCATCCATCGCCCCCTATATCAATCAATTTCAGATAATTTTTCCAAAGCCTTTGACAGAATAAGGCATGATTAGCAGAACAATCCTTGAACGAATAGCCCAATGCCCGTTTCCCTATACCTTTTTGGCGTCACCTTCAGGGCGGCTACAAGGTAAACAAAAAAGATGACGAAGTTTTTTCTAAAGCCACTTGGCTCCCGTTTCCGGTTCATAAATGAATATTAGCGCGGTATTCATGTCACGCCACATTTCATAGTTTTCCTTCGCACGTAGCTCGGGAATGCATTCGAGCCCCCGTATAAATTCGCCTCTTGGAGTCAAAGGAAACGGAGAATCCACCATTTGAGTGTTTTCATTCGGTTTCTACAGGGAAGTAATCAGTATCCAATAGACACCAGAATCGGTCGTGTCCCACATCTTTGTCTGCGTTTTGTTCAGAAGTGAGTAACGAACCCTTCTTCATCGAAATCGGCCTTCCATTCAGCGAATATTCGTAGTCACTGTTCAGACTGACATGACAGATAAAGACATGGAAGTCTAGTTAACTCACCCCCAATGCTGTTCGTAAGCGTCCACAAGGAGATTGTGTTGCGTACGCAGTAAACTTGTACCGGAGGCCACGCGATTGATAGGCGCTTCGGGAATAGGAGTACAGTCTTCTGAATTGCCTAGGTTGAATGATACTTCGGGGGCGACTGGACTAAATACAGGATCCGATGAATCGCTGCACGAATAGGAGGCGTCTTGGTCTTTTTTATTTGAAAATGGGCGTTGGTTAGCACGTTCGTTGTGTTTCGAATCCCCGCCTGAGCGTGCCAACTGATCCGAAGAAGCGTCAGCTGAAAAGCGGGATAGACACGGAACACAAACAGGACGGCATTGAATTGAGTCAAAGATGCGTACAGCGTAATGGACGAGATGCATGAACAAGTGCGAGTACGGAAAAACTTGTGTGCTGCCATTGGCTATGAACAATATTTGCAACCGTTAGTGATCCTGAGCGGTTTCAGACCATCACGAGGTTTTAGATAGAATGGTAGGAGGATCTGGGGCTATAATGTCTAACACAGCTTCATCAGTGGTATCAAAACCAGCACAAAGTAAAATTACTACGCTTAGACAAGAGATTGCAACTGTGAAATCCGACACAGTGCAACCCATGGTACAACAATAAAGGCTTGTGTGACATCCGAGAAGCACACCCACAACTCATATTCCTTTGGTGGACGCTGACAAAGTTCGTCTGCAGATGCCAGCTCAGAATGTTTGAGGGTACGGCAGGAAGACTAAACTGGTTGGAGGGTATAAATAACCTGTCCTATGCAGTGGAGAATCACCCAGCTAGAGTGATGCTCCTGAGTATGTTTCTAACATATTATGATGCGGCTAGCCGTCTTGGTCACGGACTCCTGCGATGATTGACCAATTAGTTATTCGTACGACCGAATTCTTAGTACCAACTAATAATACAATATACTTAGTGGCATGCAGTCAATAAAGTGATCAAAGCGCAACAATTTGTGCTGGGGTCGTTTCTGAGATTTTCGCAGACAGAGTTTGAGGAGCACTGAGCGATAACTGTTGTATCATTGGGCTGCCTGTGTAGTATGCACATGTGGATCCTAGCAAGTGAGAAAGCAAAAGATTCAGCATACTAGTGGAGTAAACTCGGTCGCTTCCCGCCCAAAAAAAGGAAGATATAAAACGACAGCTTGGTCAGATAAGGCCTGCCTTTTGCACTTGTGCTGTCATCCAGTTAATGCAGTTTCGATGCACCAGACGAGCCGCCATCAATCCGCTTCTATGGTTGCTGCGACTCACGGATTCCGTGTGCGAGAGCCAGATGGTTCGACTCCACTCCCTAGCTGTATCTTCTTTGTACTGCCGGCACTTGGATTTCGCATGTCAGGATCTGTCGAATTCTCCTCTGTTTGGTATAGTTTGAATCGAACTAATGCCTACAGAATTCTTACAGCAATTACTGTAAAAGCCTCATAGGAGCAGTTCCACTACCCTGATAACAACACTGGGGGAAACTTGGGCCCACGTGGCCCCCATGGTGGCAAACGGTATTGTTCCCCCTTTGGAACTGAAAAGAGAATGTAATTGCTTCGATATCATGTATTTTCATGCAGAGTGCCAGCGACCGCGTTCACTTCTCTAAACGATCTTCACCACCCTATTCTGTCAGCAGCCGTTGTACACGGCTGTTGGTATGTCTTCTTGGACGCATGCTACTACTTCGTTTTAAGGGGTGAAGAGTGGTTCTGTTCAGTTATACCTCTCATTGGGAAATTCCCTCGCTCACGAACGGTGCCCTCTCCTCTTAAGAGGGCTAGAATATTTTGCCGTTCGGTCAGGTGGTCTGTGATCGAAGTTAGTTTCCTATGCTTGCCTTTCTATCCTTATTTAAGCTAACAGCTGACCAAGATCGTGACCGTGGACGTCTGCAACATTTCATTGAAATGATCAACTGCCAAGTCCAATTGGTGTTTCAAAAAGAGCGAAAATACACCCATCAGTATTGCCAGTCAGCTTTTTTTAAGAGGTAGAATGAACCGTCAGGTGAGTAATGGTCCTCACCTCCGAAAAGTAGGGATTCAGGGGCCACGTACCACCCCAATCTTATCAATCGGACGCAATAGTAGAAATTACGAACTGAGTCCAATCATCGGCAGACATTTTGTAAATAAACGAAAGCACATACCTGGACAATTGTGACCACGGAGAGAGACAGGTACAGGCCGTTGTGGGCTGAGCTAAATGATTTCAAATAGAAAAAAAAACAAATAGTTGTTTTTACTCGTACACCTGAATAGCAAGCTGTTCAGAATAGAAACCGCTGAGACTAGACCAATAACCCTTTGTACTATTCGGCCTAATGTGTATCAGACATTATAACTAAAGTTGGAAGAATGAAGGGACGATCAACAGCACCTCTCGGTTGTTGGTCTGTTTGCCGAGCCTATCAGTCCGGGTTTGAGTGAGCACTGACGATATCGCCTCGATTGGTGATGAAACATTCGCAATCCAATTACCGAGCTCGGTGAGCAGACCAAAAACTGATAGATGCTATTCATCAACAGGAACAATCCCAATCATAACCTTCCCTCCCCGCTGAGTAACCCCAGTTCGGCGGCCGATAGCTGTCACCTAGACCGAGGCCAGATCGGTGTTGAGGCGGAAGTCTGGTGAGAGCTCCGCACGGAGTGGTGCTCCAGCATCTGTAGGTCCTAACCAACAATAGTGTTCGCTTACTCGTGAGTAGCTCGGTTTAGCTCTTAGCAAATCTACGCATTCACTGCTCTCTGGGTGCCCTCGGTTTTCTTACTTGCGGTGCTATTCAAAAGCGTGGATGAACCGGAGACTCGTGAATGCAGTCTGCGTCGAAATGTCAAAAGGAGAAGGTTGGTTTGCAGTTGCCACCATAATTATTCAATTTAGTTTATTAGCTATAAACCGTGTACCATAGGCATGTTGGTTCCAGTTTCTACAGCTTTGATCACCGGAAAACGGGAGTGTGGGACATACATACATACAAGCCTTGGAAGCGGAGCCATGTTCAGTTTGTTCGGAAATTGGGTAGCTACGTATTGAAGGTGAGAGCTTTGATGCACGAGCGCCACCGTAATTATGCATCAGTCGTATATCATCACGGGACAGAATCGAATTCATTTGTTGAGTCAACAAGTTTCTTTACAGTGTTCAGATTCCCATGGGGTTAGGGTGCTCCAGAGCACTGTGAAACCGCACAAATAGGTTCGTATCACCGACTACAGTGCTAGGATCGAATTTCTAGCGACATGTGGCATTCATTCAATGGTTGGAAAAAAATCAGAGCCTTTCGAAAAGAAGACCGAACCAGTGTTGTAAAAGTTTGGGTTAACAAGAGAATGTTCAATCACCTTACAGAAAGGCGCACCCCAACCATATAGATTTTCGAGGCCCAACAACACAAGAATCGCCATCGCCAGGTGTTGTACGTCGCAAAGGCGCAGAAAATGAGATAACCTGCCGGGGAGACAGCGAGAGAGAACACAATGGGTGATCATGTGTTGTAAACTACCGGGGTTATAAAACGACTCCCGTGGTCACAAGATCGAAAAAGTACATTTTAACAAAACATCACGTATTTCGGTACGCGGTATTACTGATGAGGGGCTGTTGGCTTCGCGGCGTGATACCATGAATGGATGGAAAAACCTGCCGAAGAAGAATCGCAACCTGCTATGATGAGCCAACAGTGACGGTATGGGGAGGAGTAGGGATCTGTATGGTCTGATATGCAAACATGAACTGAATACACCGACAGGTTTACGTTTTGAATAGGACTGTAGAGTCAGGCTTAAGCAGCGCCTAACTCGGCATCGTCCGAATGGCATACGAATCGAATTGAGCACTCGTATCTCGCTGGTGTTTACAGTAATGGATGAAAACGCCCCTGCAGAACAGGGCGGATATTGAGGAGGTCAAAGTATGATCGACTCAATTTTCCACGTTAACATTCATTTGAACAGTCTTCCCCTTGTCCTGATGTATTTATTCTGGCGAGTCCACACTCAAGGGGAGAAGCACTGTACTCGAGTTTCACTCTCATTAAATCTCACCAGCAACGTATATCCTTGGTAGGGCCGGGGTCTGGAATCCGTATTTCTGACAACCGTGATTCCACCACTGCACGCGCCTGAATTATGGTGTGCAGACCAGCGATTGTGTTCATACATAAGCGATGTGACTTTATTATTTCAGAAAGACAAATACCTGAAAAGTCATGAACAGAATAAGCCTTTCGGTGCGTTGTTTATCAAATTCACCAAAACTTTGGGTTAAGTCAACAGATGAGTATCGCGTTCATGCTCGTTGTAGGAGGTTGATTTTAGTAAATTCAGCAACAACTTTACGCCAAAGCTTTTCATACTGGACGAAAATGCCCAGTATGGATCGGCAAAAATGACTTTCCCAAGCTCGAAATCCACGCGAGAGTGTAGACTTATCATTGTTTAGCCTGCGCATTGCAACCGACACAGAAGAGTCGGCCCACCAACTCAACACTCATTAGATAGTCATTTATTCACTTGGAATCGTTTCTTGGGAGTTTCTTCGTTTATTCTTTGGGAGTCGAATGTCTGTATACTGCTGCTTGTGGATGGTGGTACCTTATTTTCCCATTTAGAGACCACCGACTAAGTAATTTGCTCCAGTGACTCCATTGTAAATGTTTACAAAACATGTTTTTTATCAGCATGCACACCGAAGGTTCAACACAATAGACTGAATGATTGTGAGATGACGCGGTGTGCTGTTTCTGCTGCCTTATCAGAATATCGCCCACGGACCGTTTCACAGCGAGCGGAACGTACGAACCTTCAAAGTCCATAGGACATTGGGCTGCCTTGAAGAACTTTTGAAACACGGTGCACCTCTGCCAAACAGGCGAGCATTTTGCAAGGGGGTTTACTCTCCCTAGTGCAGCGACTGTATACATTGGCGCAACACACAGGCGCACATGCCTTAATGAGACCGGCTTTGTGACTTGCCGGTATACAGCCGACGTGTTAAACGAAAACAGCGAGGTTGAGAACAACCATCTCCGTTTTATAGCTAAAGGCCGCATAACAGTGGCATTCAAAGGACAATGGTTAGCCATATGGTTAGAGGAAGGAATATCGTTAGATTACCCATCACCACCCGTAAAGGCACGCTGACGGGGAACCTCAGGAACACTGGCGCTCCAATGAGCAAAGCAAGACATTATACTCAAACCTGGGGCAGTCGACGGACGGCGCTGGTACCTCAACGATATTCAAATATTCGGTACTGGAATGGAAGTCCGGGTCTGCGACAGGCCTCCGTTGAGGTCTTTATCTGCGTCGGGCTGTTGAAATTTATTTTACTGACGATATCTGTGCTACAGAACACCACTTTCTGTAGTCCGTCAAGACGGCCTACTCAGGGGAGACAAACTGAACATACCTATTTCGCGCCGAGCAGAACATCTGAAAGAATCCACAAGGAGAGTGAATCCATTAAGAGGATCCAACCACACATCTATCCGCTTCTGGAGAAACCACCTTAAGAAACCGTGTTAGGAGGGCTTCTGCTGTGACTTGGTCTCCTCTGGAAAGAAGTTGAAATATGTTGCAAGGAACTAACGAGGAGTGGTCCGTTAAGAGATAGATAATTGGACAATCGTCCGCAGACTCGGAGCAGTTTGTTGAAAAAAGCCTTTATACGAAAGAAACAGATTTCCTCACAAACTGAACACCCACCTAGAGGTATGTGCTTTTGTCAACTACAGGCAAGGAATTTACTTAGAAAGCACATCTATCATGAGATTATATTAGGTCTCAGCGAGCTCTTAAATGGGTTCCATAATTTTACAGCGGCCATTCTATCCAAGAAGTACTGTTTCTAAAACTAGGGGTTATTGACATGCAGATGATGTCATTTCTACCAGTGGTAGATGAACCAGCGAATAAAAAGCCATTCATTTCGGGTACTCAAAGTAAATTTGCGAAAAGTCGGCCTGAAAAGTACGCAAACAAACGGTGAGTACACTGGTGACCAATAAAGGTGATTCTGATCAGGCAAATGCGTTCGAATGTTGCGCAAGCTCAAATGGCTAGGATTACATTGGGACTATTGAGCTCCTTTGGAAAGATTCTTTTGTTTTGCGTCATTCCGATGCATTGCGGCTACTCGGTCGGGATAGCCACACTACGCGCTATCTGGTGAAGTGACAGACCTAAAATGGAAGTTAGTTTCCCCCATTTGCTTGAGGGCTGACCCAATAGAGGAATTTTCGGTGTCCCGGATCTTGGAACCACTTCTTCACCTGAACGTAAACAGGTTATTTCGGGATATGCACATTTCAGTTAATAAGTCTCTCATCAAACTAAACTCAACTTCAACGTTATTTGCTCTTCGAAACAACCAGTTTTTCGACATTAGGTTCAAAGAATTTCGCGCAGATAGTGCAAGTGAAATTGGTCGAGAGCCCGAACATACCATCTACGTCCCGCTGCGTTAATGCGGTGAAGATGACACAACCACCAGATACATTGCAATTCCGGTGTCTAGGCATAAGTAGTGATTGTTCCAGATGTGCTTCTCAAGGTAACAGAATACCGTGTTGGCTTTTTGAATTCATGTTTATTCGATACTCAAGTGTCCGGGTATCCGGACGGCAGATATCCCTGAGATGCACTTTCTCAGTCACCTAACCGAATATATGCTATTGTTTATGTTAATCATTCACATGTAAGTCACAGCAAGGTCGCTGAACCAAATAATTTACTTAGTAGCTGTATTCGGCTTCGCAGTGCGCAAACAGAAGGACAGTCGTCCGGAAACGGCACCATACGAACCGTGCTTTAGTCAGGAAATGCTTGACAACTGATTAAATAACCATCCAGCCGGTATCGACTCAGAATATTACCGTTTCAATTCCGCAACTTCCGTTGTTAAATAAAAGTTGAACAGAGTTGTGACAAAAGCACAACTGTGGTTTATTCTGGTAACGGTTTCGAACTTTGCTGAAATAGCTACGCACGTCTGCACACGGAGTTTCATCCTAGTGTGAAACGATTCGAGGACGTTGACAAATCCGCTTGAACAACAAAGCTTTAGCTGCATTGTGCCTATCTCTCGAAGGTTTTGAGGAAGTCCTCCGACCGTAGTTAAGTTAGCCAAGCATATCTCCACCGCATGTTGGCCCAGATGTCCTCTAGAGCCCGTCTCCTAGCTAGTTAAGCATCGCTGAAAGTAGTTTTCAAGCTTTCGAAAAAGTTTGGTGACAGTCGGTAGATTTATTGCTGGGCAACGTTTCGCTTTTGACACAAAAGCTTCTTCAGGCCAAGTGATCAGGTTCCGGGGTTGGTCGAGATTTAAGGCAGAAGGAGAACCAATCAGCTAAGTCAAGCTAAATCCCTGTTGGGTGTCGGCTTTCAAGCTGTCTGAATTTCGTCGGGCATTTTAAGCTTCTTGCCAGTTTGTCAGTCTTCCATCAGCCGAGAAACTGGACCTTTTTGTTTAGTCTTATAAAATGGCGACCCATGTAAGGTTGGAGCTCTTTGGTTCCTGTGGTCTATCATTCATTTGTGCTTCCCACAGATGTTCCAGAGGCTTGGTTCTGGCGCTTCTGAGCTGCTTTTTGGGCGACGTTTGTCGCATACTAGGGCGTTTTGAATCGCGGTTGTCATCAAATCACTCGGTGTCCTGCCTTAGTCTTTTGACTTGGTCCAGTTGTGTTCCCAACAGCTGCTTGTTCGTATTTCCGCCGGTAGTGTTTGCTTGTTTGACAGCCTCTATCTGAGAGCTTTGCAATGCTTCGATGCAGTCTGTTCGTCCTTCAGTTTTCTTAAATCCAACTTGAATGATCTCCCTCTTGGTACATAACGTGGCATTTTTCCAGGCGTGAAACAACACAATAAGCTGTAGTCCACTCCTTAGAAAAGACTCGATGGTCCAAACCTCCCATCTCACCATGCACAAACCCGACAGTCTGTAGTTTATAAGAAGTGGTCAAATCAAGCCTGGACAACAGACCGGGTAGGATATTCGTGACTCTCCTCGGGTCTAACGGTATCTTTGGAGAAACAGCCCGAACTGTGCCATGCAGAAAATTCTGAACACTGCACGAATCGAGGGAACAAAAGGTGATGAATTCAACTAGTCATACCCGAAATTAGCGATTGTGATGGCACACGCAGATCCCTCAAACATCTGATAAGCGGGAGCTTGAAAGATGACAGAGAACGCTGGTGGATTTTGAACGCCCAGGAGATGGAGAAGGCTTTCGCTGCAGACAACAGCCATCCCTGTTTCAACTGATTCGATTAAACGATCACGTGTCAGTGAAACAATATACGAAAAAGACAGAACAGCGATTCATTCCCTGAACCGTCGCCTTGAGCAGTGGCCTGAACACTTCAAAGAACAGCCCACCTGGTCTACCTCAACACAACCACTGGAAGAACCAAGCGCGCCCAAATGGAAAATTGACACCAGCCCAGCATCAGCAACCGGAATCCAGCGGGAGATATCAATCTTGAAGTGCAACAAGACACCTGGCCCCGATGATCTGTATCCCGCACTCTTCAAAGAAGGTGGCGAGGTCCTGATTAACAACCATATTGGGAAATATTTGGAACTCTGCTACACGGTTTGGAGTGCGCTTCATACCTGCAAAATGTAAGATATCGCTACAAGACTGGGTTGGATCAAACCCAAGCCTCATGCTTGCAGGCGAGTTTGTTCGTCAAGGGCAGTTTACACTGCGGCGGTGCGATCCACACTTCTTTATGGATCAGTAATGTGGCCCCTACGTGCAGAGGACATACGGATGATATCGGTGTTTGACCATCGGTGTCTTCGAAACATTGATTGGGTCTGGTTAGAACATCGGATTAACAATGATGAGGTACGCCAGATGGCTTTAGGAAGAAGGAACTCCTGCGATGGATGAATCGCTCACAGTTCACACGCTGGTTAGGACACGTGCTACACATACCAGAAGGCCATCTGTCGCGCAGAGCTCTCTTCCTCCACTCTGTGCTGGATGGAGGAGCGCAGCGTAGGGCTTGGCAACGAAGTATGAAAACACTAACCAATAAACTTAGTCGGGTCGATAACTACCGCCTCCCTGGATGGGAACTCTGGGACTCAACTCATCGATGGTTAGCGACGCGGGTACAAATGGTCCAATCGCGCAGTCAGTGGCATTACTGTATCAGAGCTATCGTCTTCAGTGTGTAGCTACCCAATTCTCGAACTAACTGAGCATTCCATCACGTCCAAGGCTTGACCGCATCTCGCACACTCTCCCATTTCCAGTGATCAAAATTGTAGCAGATGGAACCAATGTGCCTATGGTACACGGTTTATAGCCGACACATTGATTGGTTGATGATGAACACAACAAAATCTGATGTATTCGCGAATTCTACATTCGCCGCTAAGATGTCACATAGCTGTGGTAGTTAGGAATTAAGCGGACTGATGAAACAAGATTAGTCCCATGTCGAAATTTACCACATGTTTGGGGCTGCAATAAATAAGGAATTCTGTCGAATGATGAAGTCTAGGTGACTTTCTTTCCAAAATCAAACCAGCCTGTGCAAAAAAGCCATAAGAGGCCTGCGGCGAACAAGTCCCATTGAGCTCTTCCGGAGACCGGAATAAATCAATCAGAAATTGGAAACTAGACGCGCATTTGGCGAAAAAATAAACCATCTTCCTTTCATGAAAGAGACACCTAACCAAGTGGCGAAAGCGAGATGGCTCAAGTGGTCAGAGCATGAATCTACTGACCGGAAAGTCCGTGGTTCGAACCCGGCCACTGCCTCTCAACTTCCCCTGTCTAGGCTTGGGCAACCTGGCAGTATCCCTGCCCTTGTGTTTCCTTCTGGTGGCATGGCAGTTAGGCACCGAAAGTGCTACAGCTGAACAAACCAAGTGGCGAAATTCAAGGCTTGCAGGAGAAGTTTCACCTACAGACTGAAATCAAGAATAAAAAAGGACATTTCCAGATTTGGTTAACACTGACTCTTAGACCCACGACAGTAAGTTGTGCAACGTTAACAAAAGTTTAGCGGGCCCAACTCACCATTCGTTGAATAAAAGTTTCCCCACTGGCTGGACAGACAACGGAGGGAGAGTGCCGAATGAAGATTTGGTCATTGAAGCCGTCAGTACAACGGCGTACTGCCAAAACTGGAAAAAGATTAAACAAGGTGTATGTCGGCTGCTTCGTGGAAGTTAGAGTTGTATTCATTCTGTAAGTTTCATGTTAGAACAGTGCTAATGAGCATTTGCCATTCATTTAGGAAACTACACTCCCACTCAGCTGTTTTTTTCTAGCGACAACCATGCAGTTCTTTAGTACTGAGGATAGTACTTTATCCATGACTAAATACGTGATGGCTCAATTGGGTGTTGAGAATGTCGGGTTATTAGCGACGATTTCCATCCAAAAATCACAGCAGCATAAACCAAAATGTAGGTGATGAGGGACTTGAATGGACTAATAGTAATAACCAATCTCCAGGATTAGGTTATCCTAACCATGTATGTGTTGACCGAATGCTCATGGCACAAGCATCTTAGAAAATTTATCGCAGCCCGGCACCAGATCGATTCCCAGTTTCACTCCTCCTCTAACATGGCTTTCTTGAAGTAGATTGGCAAAGACGTCAGTCAGTGCAGCATTGGTGTTGCAGCCAATGATCGTGATGGAGAGTCAACCATTACACTCGGAGGCATGACACCCCAGGAGGAGCTGTTTCGTGGAATTCTGTAGGAGACATACAGTCCTGGAGATGGAGGTGTGGTGGACATCACTTACATGAAGGTAAATGTCGAGCTATGAAACCTGATAGCCGACTTTACTGGATTATCCTAGGAATTGTATGGCAAGGTGCGAAGAACCGTATCCATAGCACTCGAGTGTGACCGCTTTTTTGAAACGCCAGAAGGCCGCATTTAAAAACAACTAAAGATCTCGATTTTCTCTCACCACTCGTCAGGGTCAGTTCGACTTATACAGTTGGACGGGAAATTGTGCTTTTTAGTAAAGATACTAAGGCCCCATGGAAATTCGGTAATTTAATTTATTTTTTGTTTATTCAGAAGTCACAGAGAGTTATGGTTGCTATACACGATAGGCAAAACAGGCACTGCGAGATCAACGAGCTCGGATCAGGAATAGACAAGCGGAAATAAACTCACGTGCTGAATATCTTTACGTCCAGTGTTCAGAGCCACTACGTAGTTGTGGGCACACATAAGTTGCACATTTTCTGTGGATAAACTATGGTGAAGGAATAAGTGCGTATTAAAGAAAACACTGTGTGTACATGTTTATGTGGCAATTTCATAGAAAGTGATGTAGAGAACACCTGTAGCTATTACTCTGTAGCTGAGGTGCAGAGTAGCAAGACAGTATCGTTACTCCCGGTGCGTCCGACCTGTGAAGTTCCTGATGACGGCGCTAATTTCTCAAACATCCGTTAACCCAAGCTCATCACAGGCTTCATCCTAAGTGGGAATGTCCGAAATGACGCTGGATTTTTTGTCGACTGACAATCGAACTAGCACACAACACGATAGGGCTAGTGCCTGAAGCTGTAAGATGTGAAGCTCACTCATGGTGTAGAGAGATGACTGAGTTATGACGCAGGCTCACTCAAGGTCGTGTAGTACCAACAAATTGTACCTGGGTCCGAAAACAATATCTCGTATACACTAGTTCCCGAATACAACTCAATAGATACACACTGCATCCGATAAATTTCCACTGTCTGGTTAAAAGTATAAGGCAGTGGGATGTCGTGTGCTTTATCCGAACAAGCTGTTGATTAATTATTCCTCAATGGTCACACGGTTATCCTATCGATTCTCAGAGATAGCCTGATAATTACTACGCCATGCGCTGTGGATTTCCGGCTACATAATGCGTTCCATCACAGTTGACTTGCTACTTCTCAAGTACTAATAATTAATGATTGGTTATTAGTCTAGATTAAAAACAAAACTGACTGTTCACGAATAGCCAGATTACTGGAGTACTTATGAAACTGATTCAAATTCGCGAACAACCGAATCCCGAGTAATTCTTATTCATTTGTTCAAACGGAGAAAAATATGTTGCTGTGCATTAAAAAACCTCACTGCCTTCAATGATGGATGCAAAGATGCAATATTAAATGTCAGTCAGAGTAGTGGGGTTTAAAGTCATCCACCTAAAGGTACGCGTTCCGAGTTCAACTGAGAAAGATCGGTGGCCCGGATTCCAGTAGGCGAGTGACCATGCTATCGTACTGGACAGGCCACTACGGTACCACCAAGTCCAGTACATACAATGGACACAATACGTGCAGCCATCACTTTCCGTGAGCGTTAGATTTATCCCAGAAGCGAGATATGGTGCGTAGCCAGTCCATCGATTTGCGTGTGCACACATGTTGTACCTTGAACTATCCAGAGTGGGCGCACACGCATGAAGACCACAGACACACGTTGTCTATTGTTCCATATGACTTTGTCTGCATCAAGTCATGCTCCGGCTCACGAGTAGTAATATAGCATAACACATTTGTAAGTACATCCGGGACCATTTTCACCGACGATGTCATGAACTTTTGTGCTAAACGAGGAAGAGAGTTCACCGGCGTGTTTGAGCAGTCCGCCTTTCCAAATGAACAGTACAGGACATAGCCATTGTCTAAATGACGACAGCGGCTGGTTTAATCATCTCATATGTACGACACTTATTTATATCGTCCAATGTCCGCGTGATCCTGAAGTAATTGACATGGATTTGACGTATAAAGTCTGTCTACCACGGTTAAGTCTCTTAATCTTTGCAACATTTGATTGGGAAGTGTGTTTTAGGCGGTTAGCGGGGGAACAGCTATACAACTCGGATTATGTGAAGCAGAGACCACTGTTGGAGAGTTGACTGTATGTTGGGGGGATGGAGAACAGTTCGTACTACATTAACTTGCGCCGCTATAGAAAACTGGGTGTTTTGCCGCAAGCGAATTGAAGATTGGAACGGGAACACGATGAGAATTGCGTCCATAACCCTTAGTGGGGTTTTGTCATCCGTGTGAAATATTTACCTGAGGGGACGGATGGAGGAATTCACTTGACCGAGAAAGGACGATGTTCCTCGCTCAAAAACGAACTAGGGAACAAGTGGATTGTCCCGAAAACAATAGGGAACCAAATTGTCAGCCTTTTTTCTGAACAAACCTTATCTCAACAGGAAACAAGAGATACCACCGTTCGTTTTGCTGCTGATGTGAGACAAAAGTTACGGAAATAAATACAGTGATAATACTTACCTGTAGTTGCGAATCAGCTTTTTGTTTACCACCCAACCGCTGAAATCATACAGTTGGGTTACCGATTGTTCTAAAAAAGAATAAGTTTTTTATCGTAGGTGAGCTAAACATTTGAATTGCAAACGTTTCATCACTATTCGGGGTGACATCATCAATGCGTTGTTAGAGTGAACAGAATCGGCGTGTCGCTGGTTTTACTGCAGGGCTACCGACGCACAGCTACGTTCCCTACCTTAACAACAAACTGATGATGTCACCTCGATTGGCGATGAAAGAGTTGCAGGGTCAGCAAACAGCGAAAAAAGATTACCTGAGCTATCGGAATTCTCATCAATAGAAAAAAGAGCTTCTGAAAAAAACTGAACAAGGCCATGCTATAGAAACCTGACTAAAATATTGTCTGGTAACTTTGAATGTAAGCGGTGATCAAAGACGCGGGGTACAGTCAAGAATGTTGTTCATCCACTAACTCCCAAATCGATGGGCTTAAATCAATCGCGGGCTTCCAAGTGTTCTGTATAGTGAATCGCGTCCTAAACACCATGCAGCGATTCTAGAAAAAGGACAGGAAGATAGTTCACTCTTTTGAAAAATCCCGGTTGCTGGTCTCCAGAAGAGGGGCGGTGGTTGAGGTTTAGTACAGTGTGAGTATTTGGCTTTCTGGTCAAAAGGAATACATAAATATTCAAGGAGAGGACGGGATCGGTATTTGTGGTGATGTCGCCGTGGATTGTTGGGGTGGACAAATGCGACATTCATGAAACTGGATTATCCTTCCGTAGGAGCATGTCGCATCTTGCCCGTACAAATGGCCGAACCCGTCCGATCTATGGACACCATTTGAAATTGCAAATGAGTTGAGTTTCCATGGTCGGACCACACAGTACGAGCAAAGAGTATCCTTGTGCGATTACCTGGCCCTCAATAAGGGCGCGCCAGTTTATCTCTTTATGAACTGACAGATTCCTATCAATCGACAGAACTGAGTCGACTTGTTCCTGTTGATATGCGGATACATCGTCTGTAGATAAGTGGTCGATTTCCAAACTGATTGTGGACACCTTGTCACAAGTGCTGACCAATTATCAACAGGAACTGTGAAACATAAGTGGTACTTTGAAATCTGGGTTCCATATGATTAAATGTTATCAGGTATTCTGCGTGCATATATCTCCTCCTATAATTGATATGTAGCAATGTGATATCCAAGAAATAGGAATTAACGACCAGGAATGTAGAAACTGTAACTTCTGGCTTTGCTGCGTTTTAAACGGACCTGTATCACACAACAAGCTATGTGATACTGAAAATCTGGTAGTAAGCAGTGAGAGACCTCGATCGCTCGACGGCACCGCAATGTTTTGTAGATCATACGTTTTGAGATGTACTTGTACTGCAGTATGCTTTGAAGATTTACTGGCGAAGATCGCGAGGTGCTGCTAGACAACACATGAAGGCGTCGTAGCACTTTTCCCAAAACATAAACAGGACGCGAACGACATTTCTGAGTCCTAATGGATTCACACGGGGCCCATTAGCCGTACAATGCTCTTTGTTGTAAAACTTTTGCCAAGATGTTGCATTTTGTTGCTTATGTACCCACACCAAAAATCATCCTAATCTACTTTCATATTTTCATAGCTCACGGAATTTCATTGTTCACTGAAGCAATCATACCCCTGGCGGAAAAGTCTAGTGGAATACTTTCCTAGCATCCTTGAGACCCCGGGATGCCTAGATGAGGCTCAGAAGTTTGGACTCGTACTCTGAGCTCAATTAGCTGACTCTTTTAATCAATCAGGGACAAGTCGTATCTTTCGAAAATTCAATTCCATTGTGCGAATACTGAGAGCCGTGTACACACAATTAAGTCGGAAATATTCAAAGACAAGCTCATAATTCTTGTCAAATTCAACAATTATGAACTCCTATGTAATAAATTCTTCCTTAAAATGACGCCTAATGACAGCTCGAGTGTCGTATCGGCCACACCATTAATGGCCTCAATCAAACCAAATATTCGAACAAACATTAAGGGACAAGTGGAGGAATAGGTGTACCTGAGTAAGCAATGAAATAAGCATTGATGGCTCGGTGGACCCCTAGTTTTCATGAAGGTTGTGATGTATCAGCCCGTGACGATCTAACACAACGATCATCCTTCTTCTAATGTAGTTTTCTGAAAATGTCCTTTCGTCTGTCACAATGGTGCGACATAAGACAGACTCGAGCATATACTTTCGATGGGGGTCTATGTGAGTGCGGCGTACTGTGAAAGTCGATTTTACTCACGCGATTGACGAGTTACGGTTGTTCCAAGGTTGCGTTGTCCCGCTGCCGACGGAGCATCATCTACCTGTGTGCCTGTGGCCATTGGAACACTGAGGGTGTCAGAGTCCTGTTTGACCTAATTAGAGGAAAAAATAACACGTTTAAGCTTTTACTGATTTGAAATAACGAGAATCACGTGGTGTGACAGTTCCAGACCTACCGGGAAACTGCCCATTGGAGGTCGAATCCGGGAGCTTGCGTGCTGACCAACAACAGTCTGTGATTCGGTAGATGGCAAGCTGAACGAGTTCTGAGCCCACTCAACGTCGGTAAATATATCATTTTCAGTTAGCACGTAGTCTGTTCGCCCACTTGATTCTTCCATTGGCTTGGCAGTAGTAATTCCGGAAATAGTTGAACTGGTAGCTATGCTCACTTTCGGCGTATCTACAGACATGATCATCAAGGATTTATAATCCTTGAATGATCTTGGTGTCCAATCATTGGTGTCTGTTGTGGACACCGATGCAGTGATACGGAGTTGAGCGCGAAGAGAAGACAATGACAGTGGGAGACCGAAGGCAACTAGAAGTCCTCGTGTGGAAAAGTGAACACCGGATGTGCGGGGGAATGGAGTTTGCGACAGATGTCGATCTTCGGGGTCGGATATGAGCGACTTCAGTGATTGGACAGGTGGAGAACCACAGCTCACTCTCTGGATGTCGTTTGAATAGGGTGGTTGACTTGCATCACGGCTTACATCAGAAGCCATAGGGTACTGTATAAGTATGGTAACGAAAAAGGATGGAATCACGGTAAGCTGGACACTAGAGATTCCAATAAGGTTTAAATAATAGTCACAACGAATTAATAAGGAACCCATGGTATTCATGCTGTGGAAGCGCTTGTTCATGCAGTAATGATATAGATGTGCAGTTATTTGCTTGATTGCATATATATATATATATATATATATATATATATATATATATATATATGTATAAACGGATATCCATCCTAGGAAATGAGCACACAAACTACCAGCTGTGATATTATTGAAGTTCAGTCCTTGTATACCCATGTTCCCGACTGGTAGTCAGGAATGAATTTGTATCCCAAACTTCCGTGTCCTGGATTATCACGGTAGAATTAACTGCTTTATTGGTTTCTGTTGAAAGCCTCCTGAACTATCTGTTCACCTTGCACTTGTCTTCACATTTTCAGAAAGCGAATACAAGGATTTAAATCTAATGTTAACCTCACGTGTTAGTCCACATGATATGAACAAAGTGTTTAATAAAAAATTCTCATGAGCAAACAACTCAACCGGGCACTGGTAGGTTACACATCGAAACATTCGAAATCCGAAGTTCACAGCCTTCAGTAGACATAGAGGTAAATTTGTGATGTTTACGACTTTATAAGTTTCTGTTAGTGTTCTGGAAGTAGTCACAACCATGCAGACTCTCCTCAAAGCCCCAAATCCCACCACAATACCTTTTATCCGTATGTACAAAGAGTGGAGGTTAGACTATCACACAGGTTAGGTGAACTCGCACTCACAGTATTACTTCATTCCTTTGAGATACTGATCCCCGTTAGCAAAATGTAAACATTGAAAGCTGGATTGAATGAGAAGGATGCTACCGATGAGACAAAACGAGGGTCACACTGTTCTGCTCGCATTTTGTGCTCTCTTTCGTGCATAGCCAAATGTGCAAGATGAGGAGTTTTCGAGCTCGACCCTGGAGAACTACTTCCTTACTGGTTTCATCTATCGTAACAAGGCGATTAAATCGCAGTAATCTGTTCTGAGTGATCACTTCACCTGACGTCGATGAGTTAGTCAGAGTAACACTTTGATAGAGCTGAGCTAATTGTTTGGCCGTGAGTTTTGGCGGCTTGAAACCATTTCGAGACTTAAAGTCATGACGTAATTAAAAGCTTTCTCGGTTACAGCTTTGAGTTAACCGAGGGCGAGTGTACGTTGTACTCGGGAAACCGATGATTTAGGTTTAATCTGGCTCTCCATTAGTGACGGCTCGATATCTAAATGGGATAATTCAATCGGCCTTCAAGATTCACAAAACATACTTTATTCAGTCATCCATGGAGTAACAGCTGGCAATTTAGTTACTAATAAGCTCAATTCTATCCGGCTAGGAACCATAAACATATGTGCTCACATCACTCGAATCGCTGGAAACTATTGAAAAAATTGTCTTCCATCTTCCGCTGTTTGCGGACCCGCTCTCTTGGCAATTTTCACAACAGTCCGAATTTTGTGCTCGTCTTGAATATATCCTACAGATCAATCAGTTGGCTTTATCAGTAAACGTGACTACAAACATGCGGCATCAATAGCAAAGCCTCGATCAACAAAGTTGGGGTTTTGTGAGATTTCCTTAAACTCTGACGTTTCACTTCGCGGCTGGATGTAGCTCATGTTAAATCAGCCAGTGAACACACACACACACATGACACTGGATTCGCCATTGATCAAGACGGGTCAGTTGACCGAACTTTTATTACCATTGTCAGACAATGACCGTCAGACGTGCTGTGAATTTTGCGCGGATAATATACTATGCTCATCCAGATGAGCGATGCGTCTATGTTGTCCGTTCACTCATTACTAAGGCCACTTGATACATTTGTCACAGTGTCTGTGGCTAAATCCGGGCGAACCGTGCGAGATAGTGACGTAAAGATAGGAAACAATTCAGCATAGCCACCATTGATATTGGAAATTACCACATAAGCCACAGTCAACATTGCTTAGTTATTGTGACTGTTATTTTGGTGTGAAATACGAGTAATGTGCCAACTGATAGGACTGAAACAACCATGAAAAACTCCATTGTATATGGAGTCATCATCACAGCAACTATGATAGCAGAACATCGACAGTTCATATTCAGCACGCCGCACAAGAGCACTGTATACCACTTGGCCGACCGAGCACAGCGATTCGTAAAAACGTTAGTGTAGCGGGATATACAGCTGTATATCAATACACTGTTGAAGGTGTCTGACAGAAATAGAGGAACAGACTTCAAGAGGTTTCGTTTTTTGTCCGGTTTCAAGAATCCGTACGGTCGCTGTTGAGGTTATCACCACTGTGACCATCGGTTAGCTTGGATGTAACGAATAAATTTAGCTAGGGCTGCTGGGTACGGCACAGTTGGGGTCAGTCTGCCGCAGGTCAAATAATTTATTACTTTAAAATATGACACTACCAAAGATGTCCTCGTAACTAGGTTAAAAGTGAAAGTGATCAAACAGTGAAATCGGTGCAGCATGTCACATTATTGCGAATCTGACTGGTATCCGGATAGGACAAATAAGCAAATAGACAAACAATTCCAGAAAAACTCACAAAAGATTTACTTTTTTTCTTAAAGATCATAGGAAGCGAAATTCCATCTTTTTCTTCGGAAAATGTGAGGACAATTTTGAAATCACACAAATCCAATCGAAACTCTTTAGACAGTTGTAAAACACAGCGAAGACGGTCTATTTCAGTGTCAATCTACACAGTATTGCTGAGAAAACATCTTGACATCCCTCCAAGGCATAAGATTACGCAAGGAAAGCCGAACCAGACTTCAGCGGTGTAAAGATGGTGTAAAATACATTAGTCTAAGAGGAAACATCGACCAAGCCGAATAACACTTGAGGAATACATGAACTTCTGGTGGGATTAAGTATGAAGGGTTGTTTTTGGCAGATTTAAAGTCTCCGAAGTGTTGCATTGGTCTAACTCATAGGATCAGCTACAATAGCGTCCTAGTATCCCTTCACATCCAAGGGCAAAAGACATTCTGTGGTTTCTGAATGAGCGAAATTGAATGTAGATCAGGTGGCTGTTGATCTGCTCGCCAAGGTTGATAATTTGCTTACCCAACAACAAAATGATGATTTCTCCACGATTAGTGACGAAACATCTGCAAGTAACTGGCCAAACTCAGCAAACAGATCAACAACCATCTGACACACAGCCCATCAACGCGCCCGAGCTGATAATATTTCGATACACTACCAGTGGCCGAATCATACCATAGGAGAAAACGTCACAATAGCGATGCGATTTTGTATTTGCTTGGGTACCCCAATCAAGTGTTACAAGACGGTAGCCGACTTCACTCACATTTCCTACATAGTTCGGCCACGTTCTTTGCGGATGCGATTTGATTTAGTCTGTCAATAGCTTCAAAACGAACGCTGTTAGAACATTAAACACACTGATGGTAGTGTAAGGAGATTTGGTGGTTTTCACATGAGGTTCCGTCCTATAAGTGAAGATAACCGAAGCTGAAAATCCGAGCTGTTTCATCCTTATCAGGAATCATCAATAGTGGGCATACCATGAAACATGGAATACGGTCGAAATGTGTAGTAAAGCGACAAACGTAACAGAATAAAATAAAGCAACGTGTGCAAACTCATTGTTTCCCGGGTATCAAAAAGTTCATCGTTAAGCCAGTGTTACAGTGCACTCTATCCACACATTGTTTTTCGCTTTTGGTTCTTACTGGGCTCCAGTCAGTCAGGACAAAAATTACTTTTCGGACAAAGAGGATATGCCCCGGCAAGCGTGCGAGCGTTTTTTATTGATTCACCGGTACACCTCAGTTCCAAACATCTATAGCTATCGAATGTTTAAGGACGCACTGCGGTTGAAGTGACTGGTTCTCCCACAGCCTATCATATATCGCCGAAAACCTTCAAAGACACTTAATTTCTGTTAACCAGATGTGGAAGATGTGAGAGGTGCTTCATAGTTCTCGCCTCTTTCAAGAACTTGTCAAAAAAACAACTCAGTACCCCGTGCACATGTTTCCTTGAGAAGCAGAAGGAAGTCAACCGGTATAAAATGGCATTGTTGAGCAATTTAACGTTCGTGCACCAAAATGAAGGCCATCTAACCACGGGACACTAACTAGTCGTAGCTAGTCTACAGCGAAAAACTAAACTCATATAATTGAAGACACATATGTAAAAACTATGCGCATCACTGGTAGCCTGCCCTCGTTAGTTCCCTCTTAGAGCGTCCCCATGGGTCGCTACCGGTGAGAAGATTGAGTGTATCAGGCGAAAAAATGAGTGGAAGGTCGCCGGCGAAGTCCATGAAAACGGAAAACATGTTTAAGATGTTGGACAACGTGACTAGAACAGGAACGCAGCTGGTGGAGTTTAACTTCCCCCAGAAGTCGACACATCTTTTGAAATGCCGTGACTGCTTGCAACTGCTCAGAACGCAGTCACCATCATCAAAATGACGAAGTCCAGGAGGAAAGCCATCACTCAGCGGCTTACTTGAAATAAGATCAACTTATTCAGTCTCCAGAACGAAATTATGGTTTAGCACTGGAATCCAACTCTCAAAACCTTCCACCTGAAGAGTGGATCTCTCTATCCAGATTGAACAGTGAAGAGGAAGAAGAGGGGCTACTCAGGGGTATAAGAACCTCATCTAGTGGTAATAAGTACGTAATAAAAGATGTGACTGACCATCGGGCACAGCTGAAGACTTACCGAAATCAAAAGACGATTGGAAGGGATATTCTGTAACAGATCGACAGCCTTGCGCATACAGGGCTCCATACATCCGCGACACGAGTGGACAAGCTCAGATGCAGTAGTTCGAAGCACCTCAAATACGAGAAACAAGAAGGAATAAATCTACACCGTGCCAACGAAAGCATAATGAACCGAAATGTAAATCATTTGCATCGGTGGACGTAGCAAAATCAAACGGGCTTCACTGAAAATGTATCAACCCAACCCATACCTGATACTGGACAGAGTGTATGAAAAACCAAGTTCAGTCGGAAAATCGCAGTCAGCATGAGGGGAATTAATTGGCCAATCAAATACGAGGGAAACAAACCACAACAAAACGTATCGTGAACGAACGAACCGAAACAAGAGTAAGATGATTTTCAAGTAGCCCATCACGTAAGAAGCATAAGACACACACTGAAAACTATAAACACACAAGTAAGAAGACAATACACACCCATCTAATCAAGTACCGGCGATGTCTAACCAAATGCTAAGATCGCGAAAAGATCCACGAACACCTGATGAACAAGTAGGATGTTTATACTCGGAAGAGAACGTAGGTGGTTACAGTGGACCCCAGAGGTTTCAATCCAGCATCATTCTTTTGGCAGAACCAATATCTCCATAGAAAAACTATCTGAAACGGAAACCGCTTCTGTTCACCAACAAAGTTGGTGTCTATAAGGCCGCTTGGTGAGCGGTAAGGCTAAGCTACACCATTGGCTAGCGTCAACGTTGACGAGGAGGATTCATGGGTCAGACGTGTTCACGTACATGGCTACGAAGTCAACCATGCATCTCTGGTTCTCCTGTCTACACTTGGACAACCTGGCAGTAGCCCAGCTCTCATGCTTCCTCCGGGTGGCATGGCAGCTCGACACGGAAAGTGTGCCACAGCTGAACGATTAGCCCAGCTCCATGCTTCCTCCGGGTGGCATGGCAGCTCGACACGGAAAGTGTGCCACAGCTGAACGATTATTATTACTTCATCGAGGTCCACTAGTGGGTGTGTTCCTCATGTGTACGGTCACATGTTGAACACATGCATTAAAAGAACGGCCTAGGGTTAGCTGCGACGGTCTAGAATCGTTTAATGCGCATTTCTACGAAATACGGTTATCTTCTGGTCGGACCAACGGTCATTCCGCAATAGTGAGACAAGTGTGAGTGTAATAAAGTGATGGCTTTCCTAAACTTATGACTCGGAATGATGAGTTAACTTTGACAGCAACCGCCCAACTCACCTCGTGAAGACGTGAGACTAGTTCAGTCGGTAGGGCAGGATAATGGTGCAGAATGGTAAACTGCGGCGTGCTGCGAGGATAGTCTAAAGGGAAACTGACACTTATGGTCACCGCGCCAGCGGCAGGAATACCGGAATCACTTGAACCCAAATTCGATAACTCCTTTGATTCTCGGACGCTGGGTGGTGCCAAAGACGCAGTTGTGGACTGTTGCTGAGGCTGTGGGATTTGCGGCATGTGGGATGAGTGTTGTGTTTGCTGTCTTTGTCCATCCGTTCTGGTCATATCGCGTAGGTCAGTGGCAGATTTACATTGCTCTGGGGATTTCCACTGTTGTTCCGATCGGGTTGGATTGTTCATACTTGGTAAGATATCGCCAGGTGGTAGGAGCAGACTATCCAAGTCGCGTATCTCTTCCAGGTCAGCACTGGGTCGACGACCACGCATATCAGGACCCACAGAACACACCGTATAATGATGGTAATGCAATTTGCGGCAGAAAAATAGCTTGAGCTTAGCGTTCCGATTGATCATGTCTATCTCCTCTACCTTGTACTAGATTTCATAAAAAAAAGTAAATTACTGTGCAGTTTGCTTGAATATTAAGGTAGCACAAGAAGGCGTTATGTGTGCGACTAAAAAAATCGTGTTAGCAGCAGGTAACCTACCAATCAGTTGCCGGAAATCCAGTGTAAAAGTAATAAAATCGAACATGACATGATCCAGAAAAATTTATTGAGATCGGTTAGGTAGCTACAAGCAGTAAGCGGACTGAGAGTGTAAGAGACGTAGACAGGCAGACCGGAGGCATACTACTTTCCCAAATGCACATCTCCGACCAAAAACAGGAACCAACCAGTGTGCGCCGGAAGCACCGCAATTGGCCAACCAAAAAAGGAAGTTGTTCTAGGAAAAATTGCAGAACGATAATGTGAATGGAAAAGCTACGATATGGAGGCGTATTGGGACTTGCTAGACTACTGAAATGGGCGAAACCACGAAGGACTCGTCATATCATAAGAAAATAAAGTCTCGAGCATGGAAACAAAGAGAGACGAAGTTTTGGCTTTTACGCACCTCGGATCAGCGATGAGCAAATTAACAAACGCATTTGCAGAAAAGTAATTCGGTTTCGAATTCCACTCAGAACCTATCGTGTAGAGAAAATGGTAGAATAACGGCTCTCCCCAGTTTTACAGCACATGAAGACACATAGATACGAGGAAAATTCACTCATTGACAAGTGCCCCAATACTGGACCCGGTGGTAAGCCAGAATGCACAATTGCACTGGAATTTGATGAAAGCAAAGTAGGTACCCAGCCCCAAGGAAATAACGCAAACACAGGGAATCACTGAAAAAAAACTATGGTAGCGAGCTTAATTAAACCCCAGGGTCACTACGTAGAGACATATGGCATAATTAACGATCCTTTGTATCCTTGCAATAGTCTCCGACCGTGATGGAATAGTTTAATCGATTATTTATGTTGAGTTCCGTGTGGTCATTGATTTTTAATCCTATGCATGTGAGCTTGTGGTATTAATAAAATTAGGGTTCATGCTGCGGCGTTCCGCAAAACAAAGGCAACTGCGATGCAACATTTAACCATATGCAATATTTTCAGGGATTACAGCGGTGACTTGGTGTGGTGACTACATGGAACCATTGTCAATGTTTTCTGCGTCTGACTAAAGAAAACAGCGCTACCTGTGAATTGTTTCAAGTTCTTTCACTTCGACTTGGGTGACCGCACGGCACAGCGCAAACCGTCTTT